TGTAGAAGTCCAATGATGCAACCATTACACCAACTGCAAGTTTCCACATATTTTCTATTTTCTAGTTGTATTTAGTAATAATAATAAAAGAAAAGAAAGAAGAAAGAAAGAAAGAAAGAAAGAAAGAAAGAAAGAAAGAAAGAAAGAAAGAAAGAAAGAAAGAAAGAAAGAAAGAAAGAAAGAAAGAAAGAAAGAAAGAAAGAAAAGAAAAAGAAAATTTTGACCTGGAGATAACAGCAGAAAAAGAAAGCTTGTCTAATTTGCAGGATTAATACCAATAGATTTAATCTAATGCTCTCTGACAGAATGGGAATTAGGAAACATGGCAATCCAAGTCAACTACTAAATGGGCATTTTACAAAACTAAAGAAATAAAAAAGATGGGACCAGCAGTTGACGTAATAGCTATGTCACTGGATTCCCATGCTGTTGACTGTGTTTTGAGTCCGAGACCCAGTGGCTTAAACTCACTCTGGGCACGTGTGCATGTGTGCCCAAGATCCCTAGATGAGAATGGATTGCGGTGTAGCCATCCCCCCTGGGAGGTGATTTCTCTCTTTCTATCTCTCTGTCTCTCTCTGTCTTTCTGGTGAGCACATGTGCCCTAGAGCAAAAACCTCTTCAAAAAAAAAAGAAAGAAATCAAAAAGAAAAATGCTCTTTAAACATGCAGAACTATTTCTCAATACCATATTCATAACATGTAAAAACAGATGAAAGATAATTATTTGGTTCATTTATGTAAGAGCTACCGCTTATATTTTGACAATTTACCTTAAAAGATACCTTAAAAATGTATCCATTTACTTATCAGCTTCTTGAAATATTCAGCTTTACCTAGCATTTTAATCCCTCTACCTAAATCAAAAATATTTATCCATTACTCAGTGAAGGACACATCCTAAGATAACAGACACGTGGTTTCTGAATCTTATATGTGAGGCAAATCAATGGAGGATGAAAGAATAAGAACTATGGTTTGATTTCAGAGAATGAAAGACCTCAGATTCCTGCAAGTTTAATGAGGAGTCCAAAATTTATCCTGTAATCTGATTTAAACTAGCAATAACAAGAAGAATACTTCTTGTAATAACCCTGTGTAAACCCAAAGATGACTGACAGAGGTAACCATAAATTCAGTTAATCTGAAGAAACCATTGCTCTTTACTACATACTAATTATCTCATGTAAATTGTGAACATGGGCACCTAGGGGATATTGTAAAGAGGACAGGAATAGGTGATGAGTAAATTATAAAACTGATCAGTCATAATTTAATCATTTATTCACTCATGCATTCATTTACTTTTTGCAACAAATAATAAACAAAAGAAAAAAGAGGACAGGGAATTTAAACTTCAAAATCAGAACAATTAAATTGATGTTTCTTTAAAATATGAGACTTGGAATACAGAATGGGAATACCTTAGCAAAGTAAAAGACATGTGGCTTTGTCTTTGAAGGACCCAATACATAAAAAGGAGAGTAAAAGAAAGATTTGGGGAGGACTAGGAAGAGATCTCATCTCTAGAGTCCAAATCACACAGCCATGACATACTATAGGAGAATAGCTTTTGGGAGTAGTCTTATCTACCCACCCACAATTGACAGATCTCCAGCATCTAGTGTAACCCATGGCCAAGGCAGACAATCTAAGAGCACTGAAAGTGTTTAAGCCAAATAGACTCAAATTTGAATTTGGATTTTCACTTCCAGATCCTACAAAAATGCACTGAGCCTCTCCTTTCCAGCTTTATTTTTTTAATTTATTTTTTAAAATATTATTGTTTCACTTCATTTTTTTGGAAATGAGGCAATTCTTCCTATCTTACTTAGGTATTTGGAGCAGAGAGATATTATATCAATTAATATATAATTGATATATTATGTATTAATGTCTTAATTATATTAATGCATGAAAATTTATTATATATTAATATTGTATAATGTATGTGATAAAGACATTTATATATACTTAGTGTATTAACTATAATTATTATATTATGAATTTATTAATATATTAATACACAAAAAGTGCTGAGTTAAATGTCTGGAAAACAAGGATAATCAATAAATTACTAAGCTTATTTGCCCAGATCAGACATTGAAATTAGTAGCATTAGTAAAACAGGTACAATTAAACATTAAACCTGAGTTTATGTATATTTGATATACATTTTTAGTTGGTGTCTGTGGTATGTAATTTTGAAAAAAAAATCTCAGAATCCATGGGCCTGTGGCCATGACTCTCCCAGTTAGGAAAGATGACAGTGCTCAACAATTTGCAGGGAGGCACATTCAAGGATTTACCAAGAACTATGAACGGGAGTACTAACAGGATGAACAAAATGTTGGCTGCTTTTCTAAAACTGGGAAAAATGTTCAGTGAATGTCATCAAAAACAATTTCTGGAAGAAAATCTAGAGCCTGAAATGAAAAAGCATTCAGTGATCTACGCTGATATTCTCTGGGCAACTCATAGATAGACCCCATATATTTGAGTGTTCTCTGCGACCTTGAAAGAATCTATTTGACACTTTGTTTACCCAAATTTTCTTAGTACCTATTTTCACTCTCAGCATGGGATTTTATTTTATCATTACTAGCCTCGATCAAAAGACATTGCCAGGGCCTGCATGGTATAGTCATTAAGTATTGTGCACTGGGAGCAGGATCCCATACAGCCAACCCCAGTTTGGCCCCTGCAACTTGAACAAACTGAGTATACATCCATGCATGCCCAGCATCCTGATGGGAAATAAAATGGAGGAAAAGGATTGCTGCCAGACCGCACTCCACTAGGAGATACGTTCTCCATCATGTCCTCTCATCTCTGGACTCTACACCTACTCTCTGGCAATAAAAACATAAAATATATTTTCTTTTTTTTTTTTTTTTTTTTTTAGTTTTTGCCATAGGGTACATGCACTTGCAAAGAAAGATTAAGACAGAGAGAGAGGGAGAGAAAGAAATAGCCCTCCAGGGAGATGGAACATCACAGTTCCATCACCTTGATTTCTCCTTGGGATAATTATAGGCATGCACACATAAGCACCCAACATGATTTTCAAGCCTTCAGGTCTGAAACTCGAACCTGCAGCCAACTATGTAGGATCCAGTGCCTTAAACTCTGTAACGTCTTCTGGCCCCAAATAACTGTTTTTGGAAAGACATTTTCAGAAGTTGGGGACCAGTAGCTAGCATAATGGCTATGTCACTGGACTCCCATGTAGTTTACCACAGTTTGAGTCTCGGAATCGAGGACTTAAACTCACGCCGGGCACATGTGTGTGCATGTCCAAGATCCCAAGAGGAGAATGGAGGAGAGGGGATTGTGGTGTGGCCATCCCCCCTAGGGAGTGATTTCTCACTTTCTGTCTCTCTGTCTTTCTGGCGAGTGTACGCACCCTACAGCAAAAACCTCTCCAGAAAAAATTAAATGATGTTTTACTGCTCCTTTATTCAACTCTGCTACCATGATTATGTATCAATATTCTTTGTGGGTTTTTTTTTAGTTTTTGCCATAGGGTACATGCACTTGCAAAGAAAGATTAAGACAGAGAGAGAGGGAGAGAAAGAAATAGCCCTCCAGGGAGATGGAACATCACAGTTCCATCACCTTGATTTCTCCTTGGGATAATTATAGGCATGCACACATAAGCACCCAACATGATTTTCAAGCCTTCAGGTCTGAAACTCGAACCTGCAGCCAACTATGTAGGATCCAGTGCCTTAAACTCTGTAACGTCTTCTGGCCCCAAATAACTGTTTTTGGAAAGACATTTTCAGAAGTTGGGGACCAGTAGCTAGCATAATGGCTATGTCACTGGACTCCCATGTAGTTTACCACAGTTTGAGTCTCGGAATCGAGGACTTAAACTCACGCCGGGCACATGTGTGTGCATGTCCAAGATCCCAAGAGGAGAATGGAGGAGAGGGGATTGTGGTGTGGCCATCCCCCCTAGGGAGTGATTTCTCACTTTCTGTCTCTCTGTCTTTCTGGCGAGTGTACGCACCCTACAGCAAAAACCTCTCCAGAAAAAAAAAAAAAAAAAAAAAAGATAGACATTTTCAGGATTTTTTATTCAATCCCTCCAAACTTAGTACACAAAAAGATTCCATTTTAATTCTTTGTTCCTGAAGAAGCTGTGGATTCCAATTCCTTGGATGGATTAAGAAATTTACTTCTTTTTAGTTAGTTCAAATATATTCCTTTGACTCTCAGGTAAGTGTGATACTCTAATGAGACAATTAATGTGAAACAGCCTAGTATATTGCAAAATGCAGTACCACTTGAGGAATAAGAAACAGGATGAAGACCATGATGATGATAATGATGAGATTTAGTGTGTTTTACATTTTAAAGAATTTTTTTTTTTGAGAGGTGTTTTTGCTATAGGGTGCATGTGCTTGCCAGAAAGACAGAGAGAGACAGAGACAGAAAGCAAGAAATCATGCCCCAGGGAGGATAGTCATGCAACAATCCTTTCTCCTCCATTCTCCTTTCAGAATCCTGGGCACAGATGCACACGCACCCAGCATGAGTTTACGCCACCAGGTCTGGGACTTGAACTACAGTCAACAACATGGGAGTCCAGTGATGTAGCCATCACACCATCTGCTGGTCCCATATTTTAAAGAATTTTTAAAAATATCATTTCAATTAGGGAGTACACTGTATTGTGGAGTAAAACAGTATAGAATTTCTACTTAGAAGCAACTATTTCTAAATCCATCTCAGTGACTTAAGTTCTGATAATTAGGGACAAATACCATTCCTTACAATCTGTATGAGTTTCAAGAACATATTAGTTCATGTGTTAGCATTCCTGGAAGAGCTAATAATACAGAACAAACAATGAGAACATGGGAAAGAGATAATGAAAAACATACACAGCATGAATAAATAAGTTCCTAGTGACCCATGTCCTGTCAGCGTCTTTCTCTCTGTCCAGATTGAAGAGGTCACGTCTCCTTAGAGCCCACAGTTGCCTTCTGAGCATGCCTCCTCCACAGACAGACATCAACATCTCCTTCTTCCATCCACCTGTCTTCCTACTCATTGGCATCCCAGGGCATGAGGCCGCTCATGGATGGATCTCCATCCCCTTCTCCTCCATGTACACTGTGGCCCTCACTGGAAACTGCCTGATTCTCCTGGCTATCAGGAGGACCCCCAGCCTGCACCAGCCCATGTACTACTTCCTGTCCATGCTGGCCCTCACTGATGTGGGCCTCACCTTATCCACACTACCCACAACCTTGGGTGTTCTCTGGTTTGACCATCGGCTCATTAGCTTCAATGCCTGCCTAGTCCAGATGTTCTTCCTGCACTCCTTCTCTGTAGTGGAGTCCTCAGTTCTCCTGGCCATGTCATTTGATCGTTTTGTAGCCATTTCCAACCCATTGCGCTATGCAGCCATCCTCACAAATAATGTCATCATTAGGATTGGGCTGGCCATTGTGACTCGAGCCATTGTGTCCCTCTTCCCTGTACCCTTCTTGCTGAAGAGACTGAACTTCTGCCCAGACAAGACCCTCTTGTCCCACTCCTTCTGTTTTCATGCTGACGTGATGAGGCGAGCCTGTGCAGATATCACCATAAATATTCTCTATGGGCTCTATGTAGTATTGTCCACAGGGGGCATAGACTCCCTGCTCATTGTCCTGTCCTATACGCTCATCCTGCACACAGTCCTGGGCCTGGCTTCTCCCAGGGAGCGCATCCGGGCCCTCAACACCTGTGTCTCCCATATTCTGGCTGTGTTTGTCTTCTTCATCCCAGTCATTACCATGTCTATGATCCACCGTTTTGGGAGGCACTTACCACCCATTGTACATTCCCTTGTTGCTTACGTCTACCTGGTGGTGCCTCCTGTGCTCAACCCTATCATCTATAGTGTCAAATCCAAGCCCATCAGAGAGGCCATGCTCAGGGTTCTGAGGGGAAAGGTCTGGAGCTGATGATGGAGGACTTGGAACCTTGAATAGTGACTTGTAAACCAAAAAATTAAATAAAACTCTTAAGTCAAGTTCCACTCGTGCTTTTCTATCGACACCTGACATGGAGAGTGTTTTATTATAATAAACACTGTATCCATTCTTATTTTTTTATGTATGTCATGTGTATTTATTAATTGCCAACTTTTCAAATGCTTTATTCTAGTTACCAGGAATGTAAAGACAAGTTATACATGCCCTTTCCCATCAAATGTTCACATTTGCATATATACACAAAATAAGTAAATAGGAAAATGTTTAATACAGTATAGTAAGTGCATTGCTAAAGTGTGTACAGGTTGCTAAATAAATAGATTAACAAATTGTATTATTAGTTCAGTTTATATTTAAATGCAAATAATTATAACTCTTGTCTTCTAATTTTGTGTGCATAATTACATGTAAAATGATACATATTTTTAAATAAACGATGGATATAAACAAAGATATTGCATTACTGTTATTTATCAATTATTCATTTATCAGAACTAATACTTTACTGTGCCTAATAAGGTCGAAACTTCAAAAATTAATTGTATACTATTTTTGCCTGTCTTGACTCTTGCAGCAAATTGCACTAGAGAAATATAGATTAGAAAATATATATTGACAAGTAATAAGTTAGTGGTATAGTGTAAAGATAGGGGAATGATTAGGGAATATAAAAAACAGGATGAGCATGGAGCTCAAGAATCTTCTGGCGACTCTATTTGAGTTTATAAAGAGGGATAAAGCAACCATCAGAATGGGAGAATATATTCACAAACTATGCTGTAGACAAGGGACTAATAACCAGAATATACAGGGAACTCAAACAGCTTACCAAAAACAGTCAACTCAATTAAAAGAGGGGCCAATGAATTGATCAGACAACTCTCTACAGAAGACAAATAAACAGCCAAAAGTGTATGAAAAAATGTTCAACATCCCTTGTCATTGAGGAGATGCAAGCCAAAGCCTCAATGAAACCACCTAACCCCAGCCAGAATGGCTAAGATTAAAATTATGAACAATGATAAATGCTAATGTGGCTATGATGAAAAGGAAATTCTCCTGCACATTTGATTGGAATGTAAATTAGTCCAGCCACTGTGGAGAACAATATGGAGGTTCTTCAAATATCTACAAATAAAACTACCATATGATCTAGTAATTCCACTCCTATGTATCTACACAAAGGACAGGAAAATGCTCATTGGGAAAAGTGTTTGCACATCCATCTTTATTTCTGTATTATTCATAATTGCTAAGACATGGAACTAACCCAAATGTCCATAAACAGATAAATGGATTGACAAAGTGTGTCACATATACACTGTGTAATACTACTCGGCAATAAAAATCAATGAGAACCTGGCATTTGATAAAAAGTAGATAAATATGGAAGATTTACTACTGAGTGAAGAAAGCCAGACTATGAAAGAAAGACATTGGGAGAGATTCACCCTTTTGGATCTTTAGAAATAACTTGAGCAGAATGGGGGTTAACTCTTCATTGAAAGTTTTGTAGAATTCAGAGGTGAATCCATCAGGGCAAGGGTTTTTCTTTGTTGGAAGGTTATTTATTACTGATTCAATCTCCTGGCTTGTTATGGGCCTATTCAGACTTTCTGTATCCTCCTGGCTCATTCTTGGTAGATTATATTTGTCCAGAAATTTGTCCATCTCATCCAGATTGTCTTGTTTCTTAGCATATAGATGTTCAAAGTACCCTCTAGTGATGTTTTAAATGTCTACTATGTCTGTTGTTATAGTACCAGCTTCATTGCAAACTTGATTCACCTGGTTCCTTTCTCTCTTCTTCTTAATAAGTCTCACTAGTGGTGTATCGATTTTTGTTTATCCTTTCAAAGAACCAGCTTTTAAATTTCATTTATTTTCTGTATAATATGTTTATTTTCTATTTTATTTATTTCTGCTCAGATCTTTATTATTTCCTTTCTCCTGGAGTTTTTTGGATCTTTTTGCTGTTGCTTTTCCAATTCTCTGAGGCATGACGTTAGGTGATCCATTAGCCTTCTTTTCATCTTCCTCTTATGTACACTAATTGCTATGAACTTCCCTCTTATGACTGCTTTAGCAGTGTCCCAAAGATTATGGAAGCTCGTGTCCTCATTGTCATTGGCTTCCATGAATCTTTTTATTTCAGTCTTTATTTCTCCAGTAGTAGTGGAATCATTAAGGAGTAGATTATTTAGTTTCCATGTATTTGGGTATTTTTGAGGATTTCTCTTGAAATTAAAATCAAGTTTAATTCCATCATGATCAGAGAAGATGCTGGATATAATTTCTATGCCTCTGAATCTGTAGAGGCTTGCTTTATGCCCTGTGATGTGGTCAATCTTCGAAAAGATTCCATGTCAGGTTGAGAAAAAAGTGTATCTCGTGGTTTTTGGGGGGAAAGTTTTCAAGTCCATTTTATTTATGGTATAATTTATATCCTTTATCTCTTTACCTATTTTCTGGCCTAGATGATCTGTCCAGAGGGAATAGTGCAGTGTTGAGATCTCCAACAATTAGTGTGTTTTAGTCTATCTCCCCTTTTAGATTTAACTGTCTTTCCTTCACATATTTGGGTGCTCCTATGTTAGGTACATAGATATTTATTAGGGATTACATCAGACTAAGAAGTTTCTGCATGGCAAAAGACACAGTAATTAGTGTGAATCGACAGCCCTCAAAATGGGAAAATATTTTTGTTAATTATGCATCAGATAAGGGACTGATAACCAGAACACACAAGGAACTCAAGAGGCTATTTGGAAAAAAAGATGATCAACCTTATTAAAAGATGGAAGAAGGAGTTGAAAAAAAACACTCTCTAAAGATGACATACAAATAGCCAAAAGGCATATGAAAAAATGCTCATCATCCCTCATCGTAAGGGAAATGCAGATCAAGACAACATTGAGATACCACCTAACCCCAGTCAGAATGTCTAAGATTAAAAAAACAAAAAATGCTAAGTGTTGGCAGGGGTGTGGTGAAAGGGGAACTCTTTTACACTGCTGGTGGGAATGTAAATTGGTCCAGCCACTATGGAGAACAATTTGGAGATTCC